AGATATATATATATGTATATATATATATATATATATATATATATATATATATATATATATATATATATATATATATATATATATATATATATATATATATATATATATATATATATATATATATATATATATATATGTATATATATATAAGGGTAATCACAAAAAAACCCATGAAAAGGGCACTTAATTAAAAGAGGGACATCCAATTTTTTTGTTTTTCAAATAAATTCACTCCATTCAAACTTATTTGCAAATAAGGAAAATCCTTTTATATATACCAAAATTACCCCCAATTCATTGAAACCCAATTCAACTCCAATTTCATGATTTACACCCCAATTTAGCTCAATTTCATCAATTAACTAATTTTAACCCTAATTTTAATTTTGACCCCAATTTTAACCCTAATTCGTATCAATTCCACCCATTATGCTCTAACTTCTTTAATATTACACATTGACCCCGGAATTTAACAAATATATCACATTAACCCCCAAAACATTTTTTTTCAGAAAATAATTTTTTTTCTGAAATATTTTTTTCCGGCCAGATTCCGGCGTTGACTTCTTTTTTTTTGAATTTTTGTTTTCCTGAAATTTTTTTCCGGCCGGTCAACGGCCGTTGATCGCCGGGTCTCCGGCGTTGACTGTTTTTTTTTTATAATTTTTTTTTCTTAAAAAAAATATTTTAATTAATTTTACTGTCTTGGCTGCTAAATTACTGTCTCCGGCAGCTATTTAACTGTCGGAGACAGTAATTTAACTGTTAATTGACTGTTTTTTTTTTTTCTTCAAAAATATTTTAATTAATATTACTGTATTCGTTGCTAAATTACTGTCTCCAGCAGTTATTTAACTGTCGGAGACAGTAATTTAACTGTTAATTGACTTTTTTATTCTTAAAAAAAATATTTTTAATTAATATTACTGTATTCGTTGCTAAATTACTGTCTCCAGCAGTTATTTAACTGTCGGAGATAGTAATTTAACTGTTAATTGACTTTTTTATTCTTAAAAAAAATATTTTTAATTAATATTACTGTATTCGTTGCTAAATTACTGTTTCCAGCAGTTATTTAACTGTCGGAGACAGTAATTTAACTGTTAATTGATTTTTTTATTCTTAAAAAAAATATTTTTAATTAATATTACTGTATTTGTTGCTAAATTACTGTCTCCAGCAGTTATTTAACTGTCGGAGACAGTAATTTAACTGTTAATTGACTTTTTTTTTTTTTTTTCCTTAAAAAAATTTATTTTAATTAATATTACTGTCTTGGATGTTAAATTACTGTCTCCAACAGTAATTTAACTGACTTAGACAATAATATTAATAATATTACTGTTCGGAAAAATAATATTCATAATATTACTGTCCCAAACAGTAATATTACTGTCTGAGACAGTAATTTAGTAGTCAAGACAGTAATATTAATTAAAATATTTTTTTTCTAAGAAAAAAAAATTCAAAAAAAAAAAAAAAAAAAAAGTCAACGCCGGAGACCGGCGGTCAACGGTGGTTGACCGGCCGGAAAAAAAATTCAGGAAAAAAAAAATTTCAAAAAAAAAACAAAAAAAAAGTCAACGCCGGAAACCGGCGGTCAACGCCGGAATCTGGCCGGAAAAAAAACAGTTCAAAAAAAAAATTATTTTATGAAAAAAAAAAGTTTTGGGGGTTAATGTGATATATTTGTTTAAATCCGGGGTCAATGTGTAATATTAAGGAAGTTAGAGCATAATGGGTGGAATTGTTAAGAATTATATTATTGAGGGTATTTTAGACTAAAGACATGGGGATAGGCTTAATTGAGAGACTGTTTTTTTTGTGGACTAAAATGCATTTAAGTCCCATGTGATGGGCCTTTTTGCCATTTGCCCATATATATATATATATATATATAAGTATATATATATCTCTATGGCCCCCAAATCCCGCCCCCCTATTTTTCACGCTTTATTTTTGGCCAGTTCTAATCTGAAACGACGCCGTTTCGTATTAATCCACCAACCACAGCCCTCCTTTCTTTTCTTTTTCCTTTTCTTTCGCAAAATGCACGATCGACCTCTCTGCTTCTCTTTTTTCCTTTTCTTTTATTTCTCGTCGGCGCCTACAGTTTCTGACCATCTCCTCCAATCTTATTGACGGAACGGCGTCGCTTTCTTCCGAGAGGTGCTTCATCGACCTGCTTTGATTTATTTTCACTTTTCTTTTACTCTCAATTTTCCTTTTCTTCTCCTGCTTCTTCGTCCACCTTCCGCTGCCCACAATTCTTAATTGCACCTCCTTCTACCTACATCCGCCACCTACTTCTTCTCTTCGCATACAATTCTTTGCACCGTTCTCTGTCTTCCGATTTTCTGTTAATTACCAGTCCCAAATCCGGCCTACAACTGTTCCCTTCCGCCGCCGCCGCCGCCGACGGCTTTTCTAGGCTCGCCGGAGCTGCCCCTTCGCAGGTTCAGGCGGCGTCTACCTACTTTATTTCCTCCTCCGCCAATATCAGGATTTAATTACTCAGAAATCGACAGGTTTTGTGCCTCATATCTCTTTCAAAAATTAGGGAATAATTTTTTTGGATTTTCCGAGTTTGTTGTTTCCGGCAAAAATATAGGCATGGGGGGTTCTAAGTGAGCCAGGCTTCGTTCCATATTTCGGACTTCGATCGACCGAGGTTGGCTAAAATTTCTCTTTTTTTTTTTTGTTTTCTTAAAATCATATTTCAGCCATTTTCCCCCTTCTATCAGCACTAAAAGATTTCTTTTTTAATTTTCGGATTGAAATTTGCAGAGCAATTCTGGGGATTTTTTCTACTTAGATTTTAGTATTTTTTTTTCTCCCACGCATGTTGGATATTTTGATTGGAGAGGAATTTTGAAGTTTTGATATGAATATGTGTATGCCTCTACTGTTTCTTAGTTTGAATTATAAAGGAAATTGAAAATATAACTCTTTAGTCATTTGAGAAAAAATAAAAATTAACTACATTTTATGGTTAATGTTGAGTAAAAATATTAGAAGGGCAATGCATGTCTTTGAGGTTGTTGAACAGAGAAGAAACCGATTTCAAATCCTAAGAGTACAAAACTTTTGCATTCAAATGGTTTTATCTATTTAAGCTGCTCCCCCCTTTTCTTTCTTCAAACAAGTAGTTAATTTGTTTTTTCGAATTTACTCAATTCTGTCGTAATAGAGATTAGCTCAGTTGCTAGCTGATAATAGCACAAGAGATTATGATTTTTTTTACGAAGAGTACTTCCTCGCATGATGGCAAGAGTGTTGACCGGGAACAAGAACGTAAGGTAATAATAGAGTTGTTATTGAAGCTAAATATATGCACATCAATTGATTATAAAGTTTCTGCTTGGACACCCAAGTATGTCGTTGTTATGTTTCTTTGTAAATCTTCTTTAGGAATATAGTTGTGCATATCTGTATATCCTTACACCATCATTTTACATTTGGTAAAATATAATTTGCATTTTCGTACTCAATTCTCTTATTAAATATGTGCTTCAAGATAATCTGATGATTTTTTCGTTTTTGGCAGTTCAACGAGCTTAAAGCTTCTGACACAGTGAAAGCACCTGCACGAATCATTGGTTCTCAGGCGACTAAGAAAAAGGGAGCTACATGTGTTCTGATTTAAGGAATTGGATAAGAACAGACTTGGGAGGTGAGTTAATTCTTTTTTAGGTCTTAATTTATTTTTTAGTTACACATATAGTAATATAATTTCATCTATGATCATCTACTTTAAACTATTTTTTTCTTTTGAGCCTATATACAGGTAATTAGGGTGGCAGAACTTTTGGAACAGCAGGATATATTATTCAAATGAGAAAAATGCTGTAATCCGTCAAAGGCTCATATTCTTCGATTGATTGAAAAATGCTGTAATCGTACAAGCATATGTAAGTTTAATATTCCGATGCATGTGAAAAATTAGTAGACAAACAAATACATTGTTGAGTTACGGGCTTGATTCTGCCAACATATTATGTATGATCTTTTTTGGTATTATATAAGTGCAATCATATCTGATATTGGATTTTGGTTTGTGCACCCACGAAAAAATGGGCACCAACGCCGCGCCTTGCGCGGCTATATATATATATATATATATATATATATATATATATATATATATATATATATATATATATATATATATATATATTTATATATATTTGTCTCTTCTTGTTTATTTTA